ACTTTAAATGAAAGTTGTAAAAGAAAAATATTTGTAATGATCTCTCACTTACCCAGTTTTGCTAAAATATCTGAAGTAAAAATTGCAAGTATCTGTCTTTCAGTAAGGGCTTAAAATATCTTTGAGACTCTTTGCCTTCTTATTTTTTGTTAAAAGACTAAATCATCTTCGTATAAAATCAGTTGGCAGAAACAAAATCAAATCATATAAAGTTCAAGTATCATTTTTATAAAATGACCAGATAAGCAAGATGTACAGACTACTCAACAAAGACGAAAACTATTCTGTTAATTGTGTTTGTTTGTTTGTTTAATTAAAATTATGTTTGTATTTGTTTTTTTTTTCTTTTAATTCGTCACGAGAGGTCAAACGGCTGTGCTCTATTGCATTTGAATTACTCTTCATGGATTAATATCAGTTTATGTCTTGTCACGTTATACGTCTTGACTTTAAAAAGATTCACTCAGAAAACCAGGGGCTTTGCGAATTGAAAACTGAGATCGAGGCAAAGAAAAGTCAACAGCCGTCTGTTAAAAAGGCAGATGTTGAGACCACCGTGGTAAATAAGGTAATTGAAAAGGCACAGAACGTACATGTGCAGCACATTGAGGGAGTGAAGACTTACTTTTATTATTTTCTCTCGTTGACACCCAGTTTGATTAATTGTCTTTTTGTTTTGCTTTTGCTTTGCTTATTTTTATAAGAGATTTGTATAGGTAATCACATGATTTCGAGTGCAATTTGGAATAAATAAGCACGTCGAGTAAATTTTTTTAAAGACTAACAAAATTGCAATTTGTGGTCTTTGAAAAAAATTAACAAGTGCTTGTTTATTCCAAATTGCACGAGAAAAATCATGTGATTACGTGTTAATAATATGCACGGAAAAATAGGAGATAGCTTGTCATAAATGAACATAAGCAAAGCGCGCATCAAGTGCAAAAATAATTTATTCAAACCGCGCGTTCGGTCAAAACAACCGCGTATTATCAGAACAATAATGAATTATGCAATGATATCTTCACATCTTTAAGGTGCAAAAAAGTTCAAAGTCCGGCTAAACAGTTCAAGGAATTGTTCAGTCTGTGTCCGAATCACTTTCGATGAAATGAAATCGTCGTTTCCGAAGTTTAACCATGTTTTTTTTTAATTTCGGCGTTGGATCGCTCGAGCAAAGTGTTAAGCTGGGTCGGCTCGTCATTTTCGATTTCCTCGGCAATTCCCTTCTCTAAACACCACTTTTTCCAGACCGACAACCAAAGTTTTTCAGCTGCGGTGGCAAAAGAAAGCCTACTTAAAACGCCGGCCATTGTTTCGCTCGCAAATTTTCAAATTTTCAAATTTTGTTGCGACATTCAAGGCTCGCATTTGATTAGCTATCTGTGAGTTTCTTTCATTATTGACCAATCAGAATGTCTGATTTGTTTCTTTTTTTGCACTGAATTAACCCTCTTCTGTACTGAATTAACTCTCTCCTGCACTGAATTACCTGAAAACTGCATTTATCTTAACCAATCAGAACTGGGTAATTTTTCCATGTATACTATTAACATCTAAAATGAACGTCATGTGGGTGCTGAGGTTGGAGTTACATACTCATCAAAAATTTATTCTTTAACAAGTGATAAACACAGTTAAAATCTTATTACTTCTACGAGAAGATTTAACTGAATTTTATCAACCTAGATGAACATTTTTAGGCTTCTTGTCAACCAACGTAATGATGCTATTGCTTAAATAAATTCATTCTGAAACCAATATTTTTCTATCAACCAAAGTGATTTGAGAGAGAGAAAAGAGAGTATTCATAAGTTATTCATCGGCTTGAGGTAGTAACCGACGTGTTTGCTCAAAAATACTGCCCAGCCGGAAAAACGAGATATATTTATGAAAAATGGCAACGAAATTTGGGATGTACTCGGCGACTCACGAAAGCGTTACCGTGGCCCGTGGGCAGAGATAGGAAAATACTGACTGGGTAAAGAACCAATCAGATTGCAGGATTCGTTACCGTGCCCTCTAAAAAGAAATAAAAAATTTGTTATCTGAAAGTTAGCACGATCGAAGGGTTCAAGTCATACAGGGCACCTTGTTAAGCGGTCGCCCTGTATGAAGCGGTAGGTTTTCAAAGTCCCAACAATTTTTTTTCCTTATTACATTAATCAATTAGTACGTGCACTATGATTGGTCTATTCAGCGGGCCGTATTTCACAGCCCGCTAAATTCAAAAGTTTGTTTTTGGAGCTATGGATATTCAACAAATATTTGAAACTTTTGACAACTCAAAATGCGGTTTATATCGGAAGCCAAAACTGAAGTGTTCTCGTAATTAGAATTTTAGTTTCTTTTGAGCAATTCATGGTACAAATATCCAAATTGAACGAACTTGGAAAGACTCACCGAGAGCGTATATTTGTTGTAGAACTGAAATTAAAACTTCGCTCGCCCTTTCACTTCGAACAAATTGTTTGAGAAAATTTAGTTATTAAATGAATGAAAGTTCCATCGATTAGTTAAACTGTAACCAAATACCTCACGTTTTAACTTTCCATGTACTTTTTGTGAACGATTAAAATTAATTGCAGACGGTTTTTAGGCCGCTTGTCAACTAATGTAATGACACTATTGTTTATACAAATTAAGAAACCAATATTTTTCTGTCAACCTAAGTGATTTGAGAGGATTAATAAGTTATTTATCGGCATAAGGTAGTGACCGACTTCTTTGCATAAAAATACTGCCCGGCTGGTAAAACGAGATATATTTATGGAAAATGGCAACGAAAGTAGGGGTGTAATCGGCGACTCACGAAAGCGTTACCGTTGCTCGTGGGCAGAGATAGGAAAATACTGACCGGGTAAATACCAATCAGATTACAGGATTCGTCACCGTGCCCTCTGAAAAAAAAAGTTACGGATTTTTTCCTGCTCGATTTATGGCCCGCACGCTTCGCATAACTTCGAGCGCGAAAAACTCGGTCAGTAACTTATTGTACGGCACTCGAACTCGGTTAGTGAGAGGTATGTAATTTTCACCTCAGTTAAGCGGTCACCTCTATTAAACAGTCGTGGTCAGCCATTTACTGAGTCCTAAAAGCGTCTTTGTATTATCCTCCATATCTATTCAACGATCAATCAAATGAAACCACTCAAATGAAACTAAGAATAACCTTAATCCAAGTTTATCTCCCGAAATCAATGCGAATGGTATTTTTGCACGTTTTGTGTACATTAAGAATGTATTTCTGAGAATGTAGAGGATCGATGGACGGTGACTGGTATTTTTGCGCGTTTTGGGTACATTAAAAGGGTATTTCTGAGAGTGAAGAGGATCGATGGACAGTCCCACTTAATCGAATTTTTTATTTTTTGTTTTTCAAAAGTTTGAAAATTCGACATATGAGCGGTCTTACCTATTAATTAAATATGCAAATTATGTGTTTCTTTTGGCAACCACTGTAAAGTTAAAAACCATCCTTAAAAAACAAGACGTTGCTTAAGTAATAAACTATCCTTCTACTTAAAAAAAGGGATGTTTCAATCGTTCGAAAATTTCCACTGCAACTTCCTTAAATTGTCTTACCTTACGAGCAATTAGTGCAGTCCCTCAAAATAGAGGCAACTTCAGTTGCTAATCACAGGGCGCCTGTGGCCAACTGGTGAATAAAGTATTAAATAATACGGTAACAACTTTTTTACCATGAATCTTCCTGTTTATGAATCCTTACTTGCCACAAATTTCTTACGCTTAAAATCTTAAAAGTGTGTAGCCCTATTCTAGTCAATCTATTTAAAACTAGCTGAAAATGCACCAGCGCCACAAAAGTTAATGCAATCGTAAAAATCTGACCCTATCCAGCGGCACATTGTTAGCCTCCAGGTTGACAAGAACCATTCTACCTCGCACTGCTTCCAACGCGATTGCAGCAGTCCCACGTGCGTAAAGTGCTTGTGACTTATGGGAAACACACGCATGTTACACCGAAAAACCCGCGTGTGGCAGAAGAGGCTTATTACTTGCAATTTCCCGTAGTTTTAATTTCCCTTTTGTTTTTCAGTACACGCATATGCTTGTATTTTTTTTTTACATGGGTGCGATAGAAGTTAATTGGAAAAGCATTCTTTGAAATAGGAAGTCGTCGCGTGTTTTAAGCGAAAAAGGTCGTCAAGTGATCAAAATAACACCGGCCAGATTATGGTCACATGCTCGGCAACTACTTGTAGAAACCGATCATGTTTCATTCTTATCATCAAAACAGTCACGCTTGCGTAGAAAAACAACGAAACGGAACGACTAAAGCGAAAAGATCAAAATTTGGGTATCTGCCGAAACGTCCGAAAAAAAACCCTGAAACGAAAGAAGTAATGCTGTAAGTTAACAATGGCGCCAGGATTTTGGACTTCTTTGGAAGGGTAGATGTCGAGCTCGGAGCCGACTTTTACGACTAATTACTAAGAATCCACGTTCATTTGCATATACCAAAGTGCCCACAACAACTCGTATCTACGCTATCGCGTATCCACGAGTTGAAACGGTATCTGGTACGTTTTTTTGATTACCAAAAGGATATTTCCGTTAACATCCTCTGCCACATTTCCACCCTGAGAGTTTTAACTCTTCTCCTCCGCCAGTGAATAAATTCTTCTGACATGTGCGCATCATGCGTAGCAGTGTAATTCATACCAATTTTTGTAATGCAGCAAGGTTGAAATGAGATGACAATTACGGCCTGAGTTTTGTTTGTTTTATTCTATGGTGGCTTCTAATGACCTCACGGGCGACCGTTAACAGCTGTAAGGTGTGAAACTGAGCCTATATCAGTAAACAACAAGTGGACTAAACACCTTTCAGCTTAATTAAATATATTTTCCGACCGATGCATTGCTGGATATGGCCTTTAAATAGCTTGCAGTGGAAGCGTCTTATTAGGGTGTGTTAAATTAGGAAGATCGCGGTGGTTTATTCAAACAGTCATACTTTATTTGGAGTTAGATTCGACGATGGGGAGAAGGGGCAGGGGAAGGCAAAAGGTAATACTGATCGACTCACCCCCTCCCCTCTCCTTCTTTTGGACCGTTGCTAACCCCCTTGAAACAAATTTCTTTCTCTGCCTAAACTTCCGCTGCTGTAAAAATCAAGATGGCCCTATAATTTTCACCAAGCTAACACTGAACACTCGCCCACTAAAAGGGACGCAAAAAAATGGGAAATTAAGCTGCATAAACTACACTGCTTTGCACAACGCGTGTATGTCGAGAACATTTATTCACTGGCGGGGGAGCAGCACTGAAACTCTCAACATGGAAATTATAGCAGTGAGAGTTAACGGAGATATTAATTAAATATTAAATACATTCATCCAAGGGAATGTTATGCCAAATAAAATTAAAAAATTAATTTCCTGGGACTGTCCATCGATTCTCTATATTTTAAGAAATACGCTCCTAATTGGTCAATTGTGGCATAAAATGGCGTTTTATAATTATTCTTATTATACCCCGTGGAACCTGCATCAGGCGGTCAATCTGACAGACTCGACTGTATTTTCAGCATTCTGAAAGGAGTTTCCTGTATCAGTTGTGCTTTGCTACAATGACGTATTTAAGGCCGCAATCGGCTTAACCAGTCCCGGTTGTTTGAAGAGTCCCGGAATAACGCTATCCACTAGATAAATTTCTTTCCGATGGATTGCAACTGAGGTACGTTTTGTTAACATTCAATCTATGGACAGCGATTTATCTGCTGGATAACGTTATCCACCCTTTGAACGACTGGACTCAAATCAATACAAGCATTATGACTCAGTCGTATCTATTTTACAGGAAGTCAAGTACAACCGTCAGATCTATTCTCCACTAAACCTCGATATTGCCAAAAAAGTAGGGAACAAAAGGAACGTAGGCGCTCAGTACCTCATCCTCGGTGATAAGTATTCTGAGCTCAGCGACTTTGAAAATGCAATAGACTATTACAAACAATTTTTGGGTTGTTGCAAAAAAGTGGAAGACCGCATTGGCGAGGGGCATGCATATTGCAAACTTGGGGATGCCTACAGCAGTGTTGGCCAGGTTGACCAATCTGAGGTGTTCTACAAGCTTTACTTAAGTATCACCAGGGACCTGAGTGACAAGAAAGGGGAAAGTCAAGCTTATAGCAGACTCAGTAGTGTTTATAAGTGTCTCGGTTGCTATACAAAAGCTTTAAAATACCAAGAGCAACACTTATTTATTGCCTTCACGCTGGGAGATAGATCAGAAAGGGGCTTTGCGTATGGAAAATTTGGCAGTATTTTCCATAGTCTTGGTGACTTACAAAAAGCCAGAGAATATTACGAAGCACAACTCTTGACAATCCATGAACTTGGCGATAGGAACGAATTGATAAAGGCGTATGGAAATTTAGGGAGAGTCCATCACAGTCTGCAAGATTTCCAAAAAGCCATAGAATATCATGAAAGACAACTGTGTATTGCTAAAACAGAGGGAAGGAGAGCTGATGAGGCTCGTGCGAACTATGAACTAGGTCGCAATTTCGAATCACTAGGGTCCTTACCAGAGGCTGTGCAATATTACAGGTCGAGCGCGGAACTGTTTGAAGAGATAAGAGCTCATCTTCCTCGAAGAAAGAACAGTTTCTTCCAAGATGAATGGAAAATCAACTTTTTCGATGTGCACCAATGTGTGAACACTGCCCTATGTAGAACACTACTTATACTAAATAAGGTTTCAGAAGCTCTTGTCGCAGCGGAAAATGGACGTGCCCAATCTCTGGTGGATATTTTGAGATCCCGTTATGGAATCAGCTCCTTTAACTTGCCATCAACAACACAGGAAGCATTGATGAATGATATATTTAATTGGATTTCAACAAACACAGTTGTATTACGACTTGATGGCGACAAAATATACATCTGGCTACTTCTACCCGCGAAAGCAGGACAAAAGGTTCAGTTTGTCGAGAGGACAATGGATAGTGCTCAAGATGTTGAAGCCTTTTGGAAAGCGGCGTTTGGGCCAAGATTGGATCTTTCATCATCGTTACATTTAATGTACCACTTGGTTTTTGGTGAAATATCAGACTTCTTGCAGGGAGAAGAACTTGTCATTGTCCCTGATGGTCCTTTGTATTTTGTTCCCTTTGCCGCACTCAGGGATTCTATTGAGTCGAAGTATTTGTTCGAACTGTTTAGAATTCGACTCTTTCCGTCACTGACGAGTATGAAAATAATTGCCGATTCTCGTCAGGACTATCACTGTAATAGTGATGGTCTACTTGTAGGAGATCCTTTCAGCGAAGAAATTCTCCGGCTAGATCCACTTCCCGCGGCAAGAGAGGAAGTGACACTAATCGGAAGATTGACCGGTGTTAAACCCCTTATCGGTAAAGAAGCGACAAAAGCGGCAGTCCTTAAACATCTGAACTCTGTCGCCTTAATACACATTGCAGCTCACGGATGTATGGAAACGGGTGAAATTGCGTTGGCACCAAACCCTAAGAGGACTCTAGACATTTCATTAGAGCGAGACTCCATTTTAACGATGGCTGAGGTACTAACTGAAGGAGTGAGAGCAAGACTGGTTGTTCTGAGCTGTTGTCATAGTGGGCGTGGAAAACTAATGTCTGAAGGTAACATTGGCATTGCACGTGCTTTTATCGCCGCTGGAGCTCGTTCTGTTTTGGTGTCAATCAGTGCGATCGATGATGAAGCCACACTTGCGTTTATGAAAGAATTCTACAAAGAGTTGGTGAAAGGAAGCACTGCTAGTAAGGCCTTGAACAAAGCCATGGAATGTTTCAGAAACTCAACTGAGTATTGTGAACTTAAATACTGGGCTCCATTTGTACTTATTGGGGACGATGTTCGCTTGGAAATGTTTCTGAAACCAAACAGACGGTGATGCCTGAAGCTAGTGCTTTTCAGTGTGAGTAATAAACACCTTTTCTACCACATCATTGAGTACATACAGATATGACTCATTTCCCCACCAATTTCAGAAGAAAAAACCAAATGAAATCCACCTTAGAGACCCACCTGGAATGACGGGGTGACAGGATATCTCTTATGAGAAGTCATTGCCCCTCTCGATCTTTTCAGTCACAGAAGTTTTGCAAATAGATACGGTCGTGATAAGAGAGGATTGTTCCTGGATCTGACGACAGCCTTTTTAAAAAGGTATTCTTACAGTAAATGGACCACCCGGCTGACAATCCATACAAGGGTTTCTTTGTTTTGTTTTTGTTTTTTTTTTTTTTTTAATACGCATAAAAGACGTTGCCGATAAAACTCACTATTCTACTACATTGATTGCAGCATCCCTGAACTGCAAAACAAAATAAACATACTGATTTTCAACTAAGCCTCCCAGACTGGCTGAAAGAAATTTAAACCCCTTCCAATGTTTCAGTTGTTAAATTAGAATCTATTTCGTTTTTTATTTACTACTAATAATATAGATACAGCATCAGTAAATATTTTAGGTACGATTTCTCAATTTACAGCTCGCTATAGAACTCAAACGCAAATATTGACTAAACTGACCTCCCAGGGGGTTCACGCCTAACGGAGATCACGACGACTTCATAGTCTACTAAATTTTTCCGAGATATACTTTTCTCTTTTATTTTGAAAAGGGACATTTAATTGAAGTAAAACTAAAAAAAAAAAACCCTTAAAAAAGAAGTGAAAAAATCTTTATTTGATATTCTGGAAAATTAAGATTCCTGTTTCGAAGTTGAAAATAGCATTTTCAACCTCCAAGACTGTAAAGTTAAATCAAATTGTATAGCTTCTCCCGCCCTTATATATAAATATGTTATTATACGTACACAACTTATTTATTCACTTATTTTTCTATCGGTTTTCTTTCAAGTTCCTTGATTAATTTCTAGTATTCAGTCTCTCTAGCTTTTTCATCAAATGGAATGCAATACTTAGGTAAATCCTTTGCTGGTGATTGACCCACTTTGATCAGTAATCTGCTAATTGCAGGTGAATTTACTCTTAAATTTTGTGATGAAATGAATGAAGTGTGTGCAGCCGTTGTTTTCGTGAAATGAAAGCAAAGGAACGAGACTTAAGCCAAAAATCTTTGTATTATATCGCCAGGACAAGTGAGTGAATGATCTAACATTTGAAAAATTGTATGTAAATGAGCATGAACGTCTTCAAGCAGAGACTGTAATTGCCATTTTTAATGCATAGCTTAAGAGCTTAAACAGCAGTTATCAGTGTAGAGTTTTATCTTTTGTGTGAATTGGGAGAAAGAGTAACAGACGTGAACTAAACTTTTTCCTTAGGAATGTAGCCAGCTAACGGAAAATTTCCAGTGTTTCTTAAAAATGGAGCCGAATCTCAGCTATAATTCTAAATGGTGTTGGTAGCTAACAAGAGGCCAAAATCGGCATAGGAGGCCCTTGCATTTGCTTCTGCGATAGTCTTGCGTTTCCTCGTCGCTCATGGCATGTTATATGCCTTAACATTTTATACATACTGAGATTTACAATATGAAGTACTATCGTTCGTGCCGCTGATTGGAAGAACGATGTATTTTCGCAGTCGTTCGCTTCCAATCTTTGAAACGTGTTAACACATGCGTCATACCATGGAAATTGCTAGAACAATTTTTATGTACTCGCTGCGTTGCTTCAAAAAACTCACTCGTTTGCTGCGAGCGTTTTCTGTTATTTTTTTGATGCATCGCAAATCGTAAATAAAAATCGTTCGTGCGCATTTCCCATGGAAAAATCTCCATTTGCTGAATGGGCGAAAACCTTTATGTTGAGGATGACTTTATAGTCTTTTTTGAAAACTTAGCTCGATATGTTTGCACATGCAGCCTTCCTAACACCAACTAGCCGCTCGTCTGCTACGCACAACTTGAATTATAGCTCATCCAGGAATATACATACTTAACATCTGAGAACTTATGAATTCATCCTGCTTGGCAAAGCTTGACAAATGAATGTCTCCCTCCTTCCTTTTATTCCCTCTATTGTGTTTTTTGTTGTTGTTGTTGTTTTTTTTTTTCATTTATCGGTTTTTATTTATTTGCAGATTAATAAAACGACAAAGAAGCTTGAATGTCAGTAACTCAAGAATTCTGTTGTGTAAGTATCAGTCTAACTCACTCAACCAAGGTAACAAAGAGAACTGTTAGTGACTTATGTCATGTCGAAGGCTATACGATAATGAGAGAAAAATATGTAGTACAGCAATTAAATATATATGTATGTCTCAGCCTTGTCAGCTAAGAGTGAACATAAAACATTTACGAGTTAAAAATTTTAAAAAATAAAAAAGCTAAAAATCGTTAAGTGTTTACAAAGTCGCGGAAATTTATGGTGTATAAGAAACATGTCATTAATTTAGTTTATATATTATCATACGATTAAAAAAAGGGAATGTTTTAAAAAATGCGCAAATAGAAAAAAAATGCTCCTCTCTTTCAAAATTGACTCTTAAACCTGAACTCGGGTCTTTCACTTGAGGCCATTAGAGTGAAGTGTGAACAATTGAGCAATCGCACTTTCTTAGCTTATAACAGTCCATATGACCAGTGTCTTCAGGCTTCAGGGATAATAATTATTTTTTCAATGGCAATAAAACTTATTTCAATAATCTCATATTTGATAGAATTGAGATGGACCGCTAGCTCACATGTTTAAATGTCGTTGCGCATCGATGACTTATAGTTACAGAAACGTGCTTGAAATCCTTTTGACGTAGATCCTACATGCACATACCGCAATTTCCCCCTTTTTTCTAATTCATGTCTATCTATATGGACACGTAATACAACGACTAAAAGTCACAACCTAGGTATAATATGCGAAAGGTTCGCTACACCTATAACTGGAGATAAATTACGACAGAGCTAGGTTGAGCTTCCACTGCTAATGATTCTGGGTCAGACTCTTAATCTTAATAGTAATATAAAACTCAGTTCCATAGTCTCTGTATAACATAACCTTAATAGATTTTAAATAGGTTTCGTATGATTTATCCTGCACTTATGTATTATATATGAATTTTCCTACCAAAGTACAACTATGAAAAAAAATATGTGACCTTTTCCACAGAAGCCTACAATCAATTTCTTTCAAAGATAAAGTTATAACTTCTTTCATATTTTCACATCAGAATAACTTTAAGTCTATCCGTAATGCTTGTGAAAATGGGCATAGATAAAATAAGCATTCTAATTCTTCTCTGGAAAGATTTCAGCTGATTCTGCTCTTCTGAATATCTCAGAGGAAATATTCATGCAGGTTATCCGATTAATTACTTTAAATTGAAAATCCCTTTGAAATATTTCCATGAAGTCTTCAATAGGTATAAGATAAATTTCGGATATCTCTTTACGATTAAAATGAAATTCACCCTGCGATCTCTTTTGCACCATTTGGTAGGGTAGGATAGGGTTGTAGTAAAGCTCTAATGGAAAGGCTCTTTTTATAGTCGAGAGGATCTTTTGTCAAGTCGAGAGTTTACTTTTTTGTCTCTGATTATACTTACCAAACATGTTGGCGATGATGTTTTCAATCTTTGGATACTCTAAGCAGTAACTGTTTTTCGTATGGTATTAGTTTTTCTCTTTTTAAGTATGGATATATTTCATAAAATAATTCAAATAGTACGCGCACTCTGATTGGCCATAAAACTATTTTACACGAGCGTATGTTAACACGGTTTTCGTTCCTCTTTCTTTAGTCATTTTATAAAAGAAATGTAAAATGGTTTCCGTGTTTACGTAGCCTGATGTAAACACGGAAACCATTTTACATTTCTTCAATATATCAGTCAAATTTCCTTCCAAACCCCGTACTTTGCAAAAATCCCTCCAGTCGCGTCGATCAACTAGATTAGCTATGGCAGTGCAACGGCCTGAATCTCGCAAACTGCTAAACAAACAAAACTTATGCTTCCCAACCCAACGATTTAGACACACAACTGTCAGCGGCGACCCACCCAGCGTGCGTGCATCTACATCCACAGAATTGGTTAAAAATAAAAAACGTGTGATAGAAAGGTCCTTTTCAGTTGTATTGAACTTGATATTTCCCAAATGAGTTTCACTGTCGCTTAAAAAAATTGTAGCCAGGGAAACGTTGCTTATCCCCAACAATTCAATTGTGTTATTACAAGGAGCTAGAAAAGCTTACTGGACCACAGAATTGTTCTCACTCGGCCCCAGATTACTCTTATCTTGTCTTCCCTATTCAGAGGAAATGCAATCCTGAATGCCGCAGAGATTTACGAGATACAAGAGGTTTCGTACATCAAATTCATTCCATTAAATTTTTTGTCCACATATCTTATTAAGTGATTTTTTTCTTCCTCTCCTCTTATCAATCAAACAGGGTGATAAATTGTACGACTCTGCAATTCTTGAAGGAGTCCAAAATATTGGAGACAAGTTAAAACAAGGGCCAGCGTTGCTCGATATTGGCGATGCTTATCACAATCTTGGTGATTTCAGACAGGCTTTGCATAACCACAAACTTTATCTTTCATCCATTGAAGAAGAAGACAGGGCTACTATAGGTCGTGCGCACGGTGTTCTTGGCAAGGACCATCTCGGGCTTGGAAATTATAGAGATGCCCTAATCTGCTATGAACAACAGCTCGAAATAGCTAAAGAAACTGGAGAGAGAGCTGAAGAAGGTCAAGCTTACGAAAATCTCGGTCATCTTTATTTCAAGATCACAAATTTTAAGTTGGCTGCGATGTGGTATAAATGCGCTGTGGACATTGCCGAAGAGATAGGTAACAAGACAGAAATCGGAAAAGCGAAGCGTTATCTTGGCAACTGCTATTACCGTAACGGTAGGTTTCAAAATGCCATCGAATATCATAGAGAAGATTTGAAGATAGTCAAAGAGTTAGGAGACAAAGAGG